TTTCATAAATTACGGTTTCATATTTTTAATTTTATAATTTCTGCATGCCATTTTACCAGATTTAAACTGATGATCTATAATCTGGAAAACCGATAATCCGGAATGGCTCAAGTCCTGACGAGTCCGGTTTAAAAAACGCTTGACTGTATAAGGTACGGCCTTAGCGCAATTTTGAAAATTTTTGCCAATACCAAAATGACCCATTCACTGCTCATCATAAATGCTGCATTTACTGCTCATCATAAAGTTGCCAAAAGTAGCCAAATCCCTCGTGTACCATATACTAAGATTAAACTCTCATTTTTTCCCTCCATAGATGCAGTAAAATTTACATGTTTGTTGGATGCTGTGCAGTAGTCCAGAAGGGGGTGCTATATTTGTAATTTTTTTTTGTTTTTGTTTTTTTGTTTTTATGTTTATTTTGATTTAATTTAAACTAACCAGTATTAGTTATTTAGATCAAAATGTATACAATGTTTACATAATGGCAATGTTATTCTTTCTGATCAATTCATTTGTATTCACATATTTTCTTATTTATGAATTAGGAAACGAGAATGGAACTGTACAAAGTACAATAAATATGAACTAGCTATGTCGGTCTGCTGATTGGAATGCGATTTTTTATCATTTGCTTTCATTAATAAAATAATAGTAATAAATAATTTAATGAAATAATAATAAATTCTTTAATAATATTCATTACTCTTAGATTTTGAGATGAACTTATAGCAATAATAATGCTTTAAGTCTTTTTTTCCCATAATTTTGTTATTATATTATAAAAAAGGAATCTTAGATATATTGGTTGTGTTTGAATATTACATTGGACTGTAAGGCAAAGGAAGTGCAGTCAAAAGTCGTTAATTCGGACACCCATAATCCGGAATGATCTATAATCCGGACCTCAAAGCTACAAACTTTCTGCGCATGCCGCATTGACGCATGCGCGTAAGACCTTTACTGCTGCGAATATGCGTGTGCGCGTGAGCAAAATATGTTTACAAATGCGCGTTTAATGTATAATGGACCGTATAAGCTAAGCTAAAATTACCTAATTCAGTTAATGTTGCAGATTGCCTTGTTCTTTAATCTTCGAATTGTATTTGGCTTATTATTTTTTCCAGACTGTTAGAGCAATTTTATAAAAGTAAGCTTGAACTTTCGATTATGTCAAATAGAATTTCTGATATATATTTACTAATGTGTAAAAGATCTACAAAGCGACAGTTTGTTTCGAAGTCCATTAAACAAAAAGTGGAATTGCTGCAAAAAATGGATAAAGGCATATCCTTTGTTTATCTAAACTTTAATGTTTGTTTATCTAAACTTTGTTTATCTTTAACGCTGTGGCGTGCAATGAATTGGAAGTGATCTGTCAGCACTATCCTATCTTCAGGGCAGGTTTTTATTTATTTGGCTTATAATTCCTTACTAAATGTATTATTTTCATCTCGATGTACTCGTCTTTGATATGATTTAAATCAAATTTCTCGTCATTATAAATCGCTTCCGATAGCAAAGAAAGTAACAGAGGTTATTGAAAATGAAAGAATTTCGATTGACAAATTAGTCGGTATTCTCGACACAGCAATTATAAGACTTGAACAGCAGAACTTTGTAACTGATCAAGAAATTATGTCTTTATAGAATTAAAGAGAATGTATTATCACATAAAAAACGAAACAACATTAAAATACATTGAAAAAATGTTTAATAAAGTAAACAAATAAATATTAAGCTTTTTTTTTTTTTTTTTTAAATTTGATACCCTTTAGATCATAATTGTTCTTTATTTCATAAATTACGGTTTCATATTTTTAATTTTATAATTTCTGCATGCCAGATTTAAACTGATGATCTATAATCCGGAAAAATCGATAATCCGGAATCGCCGAAGTCCCGACGAGTCCGGATTAACTACTTTTGACTGTATATCTTTAGAGAGATTTTTTCTTTATAAAATCAGTTTTTGTTTACATTAGCAGGGGGAAAAATCTCCGACCTATACGTGCCATCCATTTTATACCTGCAGTGTGCTGTGAAGTCTGATGAAATAATTTCTTAAATATTTGCAATTTCGTGGTGTCTCTAAGAGAGAGCTTCATTTTAAATTTTCTAAAGAGAATTTTAATCTATGATTTTAAATTTTAGAAAATATAAATTCATCAAAAATATTTTTCAGAACAGTTTTAAACATGTATAAAGAAGAATTATACGTCAGTTTTCTTTCATAGGCAGATTTCATCTAAAACTTTTGTTATATCCAAGGGTTGAATTTTGCTGGAGATGGATGCATGTATGTTCTACATAATAAATTTTCTGATAAAGAGTAATGTTTCATATTTTTAAAAAGAATAAGGGCATACTGAATATTTACATTTACAGTGTAGTAAATCTGTTTTTAATATTTCTTTCAGTGATCAAAACCATTGCCTTGGAATATTTTCAAAGCAAAATTAAGAAAACTGTTTATGAGAAATTTTTCATAAAGTATCCTCTTATGGATTTTTTATTTAAAGTGTGAAATTTTCTCTTTGGAAAAATAAAATTCATGAATGGAAGAAAGTAAATTCATGAGAAATAACTTCAAATTGTAATAATTCCATCTTAATATAAAATATTGGAGAAAAGTACAATACATACAGTGTATTTATTCGTAAATAATCATCTCAGATGTCTAATTTGTATACTGTTGATTGATAAATATTGGTTATTTTGGGTACTATTCTTATATACGCCTTCGGATGTATGGCATCGCCAAATGTGGCGATATGTGTTCTGCGATGGTTTTCGTGCAATGTTGTTTGTATGGCAACCATTTTGACATTGAAACAAAGAATATGTATTGACGTTCTTTGGCTGAAACTTCATTTTGCTGGAGTGGTTTTATTTGCTGGTTGGTTGGTTGGTGGATGTTTTGAAATGGCTTATGTTGCAATGAAAGATGTGGCGGCAAAATTTCAGTCATGTATTTTAGATTGTGTGCAAGGTAAATTTAAAAGGTACAAGTTTGTGAAATTTTATTCATGAATGTATGCTTTGTGTCTCAGAAGATAGGGGGAGGGGTAAAATGGTGGAAAATGATGAGTTTTGCTGATGTTTGAAATTGATATTTCTGCTGTTAAAGAAGCATTCACAATGGTAAGTGCATTTTATTTTATTGTTGTTCTTATTTTGTAGAGTGTTATGTTCATGGTTTTTTGTTTTGAATTTCTGTCATTATTGTTGTTTTTTGAATTGTTTGTAATTTATTTTAGTTTGGTTTATTTTGCTGGTTTGTGCGCAATGCCGAGGCTATGTCCGATGCCTAGATTGTGCAATTTGCCGATGTTTTTTTTAAAGTTAAAACAGATTGCTGTGTACATGGTATTGCTTGAAATTTGTTGTTGTTATGTTAGTTATTTTAGTGAGGTGTGTTTAATTCCTAGATTCTTATGCTGCATAAATTGTGCAATTCTCTGTTTTTTTTTTTTTTTATTTTTTTTTTTTATTAATTATTTAAAATAGATCACTGTGTACATGAATTCTTGTCAAATATTTGTGGTTAGAAACATTGCAATTTTGCTAAAATCTAAATTTTTTGTTTTTGTTTCTGGTTTTTGGCGTAAAATGTGTGTTAAAAACGTGGCTTTTGCACGTGCAAAAACCATGATTTTTGCAGACATTTTATGCTTAAATTTCGAAATGTAGACAAAAAATTTAGATAGTAATATGGTGCCATGGAGTTTCTCGAAAATGTTTGATGAGACATTTTTGCTAACCGAGAGCATGTATAAGAGTAGTTCCGTTATTATGATAATTTTTCTTAATCAATTTTTACAAGCCATTCAGTGGCAGAGTAGTAAAGTTGATGAACACTAGTAGTTCACTTGGCTCGAATCCCATCAGATGGGTTGGATTCATGGTTTTTGAAATATATAATGTGGATACAAGCTAGCTCCCCTTAGAAAGTTCTCCATGAAGGCATATCTCCCCTTACTCAGATAGCTGTTGTGTAATATGTCATTCTTATCATAACTGATGCTAAATTGTACTTTTTAGTTATAGTTGATGGAATAATATGTAAGCAGCAATTATTTATAGATATTCAATAGAAGCATTTGTAAACAACAACAAAAAAGGGTTATAATTTAAATTGATAGAGATTATTAATATCATATCTTGATAATTACTTCCTAATTACTTCCTAGGCCAACAAGACCTGTTCCTAGTCCTCAAAATCCTTGTGTAAGTTCCTTACAGTTCTATTTTTAATTTATGAAAATTTAAAAAGTAGGTATTCATTTCGTCTTGAAAGAATTTTGTGCCTTTTGTCCAGATTGTATTAAGCTCTGCTTGCCAGTTTTTAGGGTATATCTATATTATTATGGCCCATTTCACAAAAGGGCCAAAATTATCAATAAATCTGCAATGAAAACTGTCCTCATATGGCTGACAGTCCTATAATGATCATTTATAGTTTGCTTGGGAAGAGGAAGACTCCAAGTAAACCACATGTTATCATATTTCTTTTTTTCATATAAGTGTTAGCAATTCACAACCATGCATAATTCTCTTATCATGAGAACTGTGAGTATTCCACATGTTAATGTATTTTCTTTTTCAGAAAGTTTTTTTAAATATTTGAATTTTTAAGAAGATGCTGTATTTTCTGTGTATGAATTTGCTATATATGAAGATGCTATATATGCTGTTCCAAGAAAGACATATTTTACCTTCCATTTTAATGTAAGGAAATGGCCATTAAATAAAACCTTATATCAATGAAAGATTGGGTTTAGAGGTACAATATGAAAAGTTAAAGGAAAACATACATTTTGACAACTAGTTCAGTGGTTTCAAAATACTGCACAGTAGTTTGTTTATTGTTGGGCAGAGGAAGAGATATTGATAAAAAATTCAACCTTTATGGAAATACTGTGATTAACTGGAATAATTTCAAAAAAGGTGTATTATCTGTATTTAATCTGACAACCAAATAATTGAATAGGTAACCCTGAAAATATTGTGGACGTGAAAATCTATTTGTATTTCAAGCCAGCAGGTTGTTCACCAACGCTGGATATTTGGCTAGTTGTGCTGAGAATTAGGTGAATTCTTTCTCACTCAGGTTCCAAATAGAGAGGCAGCCACACTCGTGGCAAAATTCAGACTCTTTGTAGCATCAGAAAAGGAACCTATTAACTAAAGAAACAAACAAGAGAAAAAGAAAAGGAACTTATTAAATAAAGAAACGAACAACAGAAAAACATTCTAATCCTTATAGCATTTACAAGTTTTAGTTAATGAAATTACTCGTATTTATCAAGTATTAATGAAAGAAGATGAGAAATTATGGCATTCCATTGTCTCTGCAAGCCAAGAAAATTATTGCATGTTTTGGAAAGATTAGAAAATTAGGAATTGAATGTATTAGAGAGTGGACAAGTTATTGAAGAAAGTACACATTCAGAAGATTCTTGAGTAGTCAGTGGTGTGTTGTGTTAGTTCCAGCAATGTGTATATGTCTTCTCAATTAGACATCTTCTGTGGCACTTTATGGAAAGTACATTTTTTGTAATGCACAAGATCAGCTGCAATTAACAATTGAATGCTGGTGACAAGAACTAATGACAGTGTTCACAATGATTTTTCTAGCCAGAATGAAAAAACTAATGTATCATGACTACCAAATATCCTTTCGCGTAATGACACGTTTTTGTCTGAACGGTGCCATGAACACTCGGAACTGTTGCGTTTGAGCTAAGAACAGTCTGTATGTTTTCCAAGAAATGATTCTATATTTACTAAGGCTGTAGTCTGATATGGATTCACTTCCACATTTAGCCTCAAAAAAGAATAATATATTGAGAAATTTTCTGTTAATGTCCTATGATATGTCCCATTATGACCAGCAGGTATTATAATGTGCTATAGATGTTTATTTTACAATAGTTGCATACTTCATGAAGGTGATACACTGACATCTGTTGATGCCACGTACTACAGTTTTTGTATAGGCATTTTGCCAATGAGTTGTTTTGCCCCTTTCCCCAAAAAACTTTACGAACACCTTCCCCCCCCCATTTTATTGAACAACATCATCTTTGTTTTTATATTTTTGTAAAAAAAAAAAAAAAAAAAAAAAAAAAAAAAAGTGTTTTTAATAAGATCTCCAAGAGCATACAAAATGCCTGTTTTAGGGAATGGACTATCACATTCAGTTAATGCTTCAGGAAATATTGATGTAAAGTTTAGTCAGCATCCAAAGACAATGGATAGAAGCACTATACTTAGAAACACATGATGCCATCTGATTACATAGCTTCATGTTTTTCTTATATTCGTTTAAAGCCATTTAAATTGTAACGTTCAAGTTTCCTTTGTGTTTATAACACAAATTTAATTGTTGTTGATTGATGTGTTCTCACACATTCGGTTTCTGCTTGCATAACTACTATGTTCCTCAGATATCAAAATATCATCTCTATGATTTCTATCTTTAGGATCTGTCTGAAAAGTATCGCTTATTATAATTTTGACAGAAATTTAAGAACTTCTCACAGCATATGAGAAACATATATCTATTGTGATTAGCTATTGAATATCCTGTTTGTTGCCTTGTGCTAGTTCAAGATGGAAAATGCATTAGGATTCTAAATGAGGGTAACTTTTGGTTGATTGGGAATCTAAGCATGATACTGTATAATCTGTGGGTTTATGAAAATCATATTGTTTCCCGGTTGCAATGCTTGAAGTGATATTTTTTACACTTGATTTTATTCATAATACTTGTAAATGCTATGACAAATGGTTAGAATGCTTTTTATGGTTTATTTATTTAATACATTCTTTGATTCTCATGTACAATGCCAACAATATTTTTTGGCAATGAAATAAATGTTTATCATCAGCAGATCAATAAAGCACTTTTCTTTCCTTTATTTATTTTTAATTTTCCATGGATGCTGTTTCGCAGTTGAATCAGACTGTTATTCTTTGTAGCTTGCCTGTGCCTGTATATGACAATATCCCAATTGTTACTCTAATACTTTGTTGACTATTTTGATGTCACCGTGTCATCACATATGTTCTGTCATGAATGCTTTTATTGCATAAGAAATTAGGATACTTGCAACATTTTAGTAAAACATCATAAATCTGGAAATAATGAATTGCTTTTGTTTCATTTCTGAGTAAATTTAGTAAATGCATTAAGTAAAACGTAGTAAAAATTAACACAAGACGAACATATGTAATCCTGAAAACTTTCTGTAGAAAAAGCATTAGTGGAAAAAAAAAAAAAATGATAAAATTGATGTTGAAATAAAAGAAGTCAACCCTCCCTTTAAAATTTTTTTTAAATACATAGAGATGGGGGCATTAACAAGGGGAAGAAAAGGAAAATTATAGGAAAAAACTCATCTCTCTCTCTATAATAAATACAGAATGATTTATAGAGCTGCCAAGCAGTCCCAGTAATCGAGTTAGGTGGTATTTTTGGTAATGCTCAGCAGGTATTGTCTAATATATGAGTACTTTTCTGAGTAAACATCCTTTCAACTATTTTTTTACGATCTTTTTTTGTATCCTTCAATACTATATTGCATTAATTATGTTATTAGAAGTGTTCAAAATCGTATGTAGTTTCTTTCTTCATCCAGAATTAATCTTTGTTAAAATTATAATAATTGTCTGATTATTTTAATAGCTTGGTGTGAAAATTTTTGGTTTTTAATAGGGCAAAAATTTTATATTTTAAGTATGTGCATGTTTGATGTATTTTTCAGTCCATGTAATTAGTAGCTATTATTTGTTTTCAGGAAATTCTGGTTTTCCAGCCATTATGGAACATCTTCAAAACCAGCATCAAGTAATTTGAATTCATCAAAAATTAATATTCTTAGTTTAATAAGAAATACAACTGATAATCTGAGACCTATGATTTGGAAATCTGTTACTGTGGCATCATCTTTATTTAATAATGTCACTCTGAGATTTTCCAGAAACAAAATTGTTGAAGAGCAGAAGTCTGTTCCTATATCAAAAAACATCCAGAAATTAAGTGATAAAACAAATACTTCTTATGAAAAAATGACTGTCATACCTGGTGGACAATTGGGTGAAAGTGAAGCTAGTTTAGAGCAAGGATTTGCTGAATGGCTTACTGGTGATGAGTTACAAACCAAGAAAAAGGAATTTTTAGGAAAAGAAGAAAAATATGTTGAAAAAAGTAAAAAAGTTGTTATTTCTAAGGTATACTTTCTGTAATACTCTCTCTTTAGTTCTTTTAATCTAGGCTGGTACTTACGTATTAGTGCAACCTTCTTGTTGGAGCTTGTCGATTTTTTTATAGAAATAAAGGTGATTCGATTTGCAAATTAGAGTGGATACGGGTAGCTAAAAAATTGTTATCCTCTTGGTTGCCAGAGTTTGGCAACTTCTACTAAGGTGGTTGCAATTTTACATAAGTACTTTTAGGCTTTTGTTTTTACTCTTTTCCTTTCTTAAAATTGTGAAAACTTTTTACGGTTATACAGTGTATATGATACTTTTTACAGTTGTATATGAGGAATTTTTTTTTTTTTTTTTTTTTTTTTAACTTCCTCTATAGTTGAGCCTTCAGCAACGCAGCAGGTTTTTAGTGTCCTCTTTAATAGATGCAACATCTTCTGGATCTCAGTTGCTAAGACTAGAAGAGATATGTAAACACCTCCTTCTTTATCCAGAACAAAAATCGACAATGTGCAAAGTAAGTATTTTATTGCTTATTATATTATTGTTCTTTTATCATTATTATGCAATATGGTATTGACTGATTGGTGTTGTCTTACACTGTTTTTAAATTTAAATTGTGTATTTTTAAACATACTGTTTGTTTTGCAATATGCATTTACTATTAAGGCAGGATTAGTCCGAACTGCATTGCATATGAAATGCAACTCATCTGATAATGCTGTTCGTGCTCAAGCAAGATGTGCTCTTTCTTTAGTTGGTTATAATGAATCTCCAAAAGGGCATGGAATAAGAATTCTCAGTATTGATGGTGGGGGCACTAGGTAAGTGTTTTCTTAAAGTAATATAAATATTCATTTGTATTTTTGAATATTTTAAAATTTTATTTTTGATGTATTTGCATTGTAACTACCAGTATTTACAGTAATACATTATGGTAAATTTGTGTGTATTTTTAGTATTTTATATTATTTTCAATTTATGCATAGTTATTGTATATTTATGTGTATAAATACTTTATCTTTTTTTTATTATTGTTTTAAGACATGATTGTTATGTTTTTATGTGAATTAATTCTTTTTAATGTGCCGAATTCTATGTAGGTAATAGTTGAAATTTTGAAAATAGCCTCAGTAGAACATAAATATTTCCTGTTCTGTTGACTTGATAATGTTTTAGAAAGTTTTGAAAAACTGCTTTTCATCATTGATGCTGATTTCTTAAAAAATTTATTTGAAAATCCCTGAAATTACCTTCCACTCTACCTTATGAATAAAATAATAAAAACTGTTAGTTAATTCTGTGTGAAAAGGAAATTGAAAAACAGCCCACTGAAAATGCCTTTAAACCTTAATTATCAGGCTAAATAGTACTTTAATTTTACCACTAAAGAGCACTCACTTGATATGTTTACAAATATAACTGTAAAATTGTTACAAATGAAATTCGCCAATTTTAAGTATGATTGAAAAAGAAAACACATGTTTAATCTAAGTAATTTGCAGCAGCATCAATATATTTTTGCGAACATGTTGTAGGGTCATTTATGCCACACTTTTACAAATCAGTATCTCTGAAAGTTATTACTACCCAAATATAAATTGATGCATTGTTAGCAAAGCATTTCTTGAACAAAAATAGCTAAAGTGCCAGTAAAGGATTATCTGTTAGGTAAATGTAAGGATGTATGGAGAGTGAGCCACAATTTTCAATCTCAAATTGTTATTTGCTGGATGGTTGACATTGCCGTATGTGGTAGCACATTATCCTGAGGCAATAGGGCTTCCTAGCTGATTGCTGAAGTCACAGTTTGTCATGCATTTTCCTCATCTCTGTACAGTGTTGATTGCATTTATTTTTTCACCTCATGGAAGGAATGAACAGTGAATAGTCCCTGCAGAAGATCACTATAGAGTAACATCTTTGGAGGCAAAAATGCTTTTGGAATTACTGAACTGTCTTTCATGCCTATATGTATATGTATCATAGAATATCCATTTTTCATCCACAATCACAGTTCATTGCAGGAACCTTTACTTCCTGAGAGAAAGGAGCACATATCTGGATGCAGTATTTTATTTTCATCAGTGAATTTAAGAGATACCAAGCTTCCTAACTTTTCCTGTTATTACCAAATGTTGTAAAAGGTTTGAAAAGTGTACAATATCTGAGTGGTCTATTGTACAATTCATCACAGATCTGATTTGATTGAAATCCTTTAATTCATTTGAATCATTAAAGGACTGGTTTTCTGGATTTGAACTACAAACTGAAATTCAATTCAAATAAACAAAAAGTTAAAAGACATGTTCAAATGGATTTTAAAAAAAAAAAGTGCAATTGAGATCAAGAATCCATATTTAGTTTTTTAAGAATACCGTTAAATCTTTTATTTTAGCTGAAATTAAATCACTTTCAGAATAATGTTCAGGAGAAAAAGAATGGACCATAAAAACCCATAAAATAGAATTTAAGTAAAACTAGCTCATAACAGAAAAGCAGCATTTATTGAACAGAAGAATATGACAAAATGATTATTATAATAGGAATGCAAGATTGTTAAAACCACTGAAGGTAGAAGATAATGTGTAGAAAAAGGTGCTCAAATCATAAGAGAAGTAGAAAGACCACATTCATACAGGATCACAAAAATGTAAGAACTACAGAAAAGAATGAAAGAGGCATTCTGCAGAGAACCAACCATGAAGAATTTGCGGTAAAAAACAGTTATTAGACTAAAAGTCACTTGATAAGTGACTCAATTAGTTCAGAAGATTTGAGACTAAGTTGAAAATATTATTGAGAATGAATCTAAGACTAGAAATATTCCAAATTTAGAGATACCTGTAAATCCTCGTACATCTAATAGAAGTGATGTGTCACAAGCAAATAGATCCAACTATGTTACCAACTATGTTGGTAGGACAGTTAAAACACCTTATTTTTTAAAGGAATATGTATAATCTTATTATTTCTGTTAAAAAGTGAGATATCGTGTACATGTAACATAAAATAGTAGCTGGATTAAAAGTAGATTATACATTTACCTGATTTTGTTTAATTTAATTTTAACTTAACAATAATTCATCAATACATTACACTATGCACTAGCAATGATAACAGCACACATGGGTAATGCAACTGTAGTATCTGTTTCATTCAACGAGCATTAAACACTGAATTAATATCAAGCAAATCATGGAACTCAGTCAAATTTGCTATACCTTAACGAGTTTACATTAGGAAATTCTGCAATAAAAAGCATCTATGAAACATTCAGTAGAAGAAATAATGTGGGATTCACTCATTGTTGATTTGCAAAATTTTGCTCAGCAGATTTGAACTACAAACTGAATTTTGCTTTCAAAATTTCACTTCCTTGCAAAATTTTTAAATTTCTTGCAGTTATATTGCAGACTATTATCTGAATATATTATTTTCTGAATACATTGCTTTTGAAAAAATAATTCCAGCTTCTTTATCACAACTGCACTTGTAAATCTCCCAAAGATCTAATTTCAACATATTTTGTTAAGATAGTCAATAAGTATAACTAATTTATCTCTTCCCTGAAAGTAAAAGAGATCCATTTCTAATTCCCACAGACAGTTTGATATTTCTTTTGATAGCATCGGCTCTGTACTGTTAGTATTTGGGAAACTCATAGGTATTGTACAATTTAGAACCAAATCTTGAATTTATTTTGATATCTCTGGCTAATACAATATTTCCATTGCTTTATTTTTGCATTTTTGTACAATTCTACTTAATATGTCTTTTTGTAAACTCTAGGTATAATTATACAGACATTTTTAAATATTAATGTATAGTTCTTCTATAGCTTCTGGTAGTTCTTCTTTGAAGTTAAAGTATTAATTTGCTAGTTTTAGAATCACAGATTTCATATTTGGCCATCCAGGTTTAGTTAATTTTCTTAAAACATGTAGTTCTTCATCTTTTTATGTTTCTAGTTGAAAATTTTCCAGTTTACCTTTAGATATTGGTATACTTTCTACAACCATTCCAACCTGAGCTTCTGTCTCTCCTTCAAAGAAATCTGACAATTTAACTTTAAATGTTCTTGATAATGCATCATCTATAAAGAGTTCTTTCTCTGGTTTATATTTTATCTCGAACTGATATGGCTGTAATCTTATATGCATTATTTTTTTTACTGCACTTAATTTAATGGTTTCTATAATGAATTTTTGATTTTAAAGGTGTATGGTCATTTTCAGCAGTAAAATATGTACTGGTGCTATAAAATTTATGTTGCTAAATGTATATTGGTCAGATTTCTCACATGCTAGTTTCTCACATGCTAGATTGCTAGTTTCCTCTTCAGTTAAAGCTTAATTTTTCTGTATATTTTTAACCTTCCAGCATGTGCGCTGGGCAATTTTATATGAGTGCGCGCGCGCATCGTATTGTTTATGAAATCCATTATTTTGCCGTTTTTGTCACGAAAAACGACAGAAATGAGTGAATATTGATTATAAATTTGTTAAGAAATAAAATATTAATCTTATTATTGCAAAATACAAATGATATCACATTCAAATATAAGTAAATTATTTTTAAGTCCTTATGTTAGTGAGATGGAAATGCAATAATGTATTTCATTATAGAAAATTTTAAATTTATTATTTAATAATTATATTTTAAAATCGGAGCTAATTTTAATATCCATCAAAGGCAAGTATAGACAAATAAAAAAGGAAAACACCTTGGTAAGAAGAAAAGTAAGTTTAGCATTACTAATTTCTGCAAGGAAATTTACCTCGTACTGATTACAAAAACTCACTTTAAACTAACTTTAATATTTTTATTATTTATTTCTAAAAAATAGAAATAAAAGAAAATAAGGAATGATGGAAAGAAAATAAGGAATGGAAATCGCTATTGTTCTCCCATCCAAAAGCTTCCTTTTCTTCCTCAGATAATTCTTGAACAATGCGAGCAAAATCAGCTGGTTGCACGTATTTTTTTGCCATGAAATCTGATATAAAATTTACAGAGCCAAATGTATCCAAATTAAAATAATACACGGCAATTAATAACACAAAATATTTGAGAAAAAAATATTTTCCGAATTTTCGCCCACGAGCACATGTGTGTCGAAAACTTTGCGAAAAAGCTAACACGTAGCACAAAAGCCCAGTTAAAAAAAAATCAAATGACTTCCTATTGGCATATTCCATGATGTGGGGAAGGGTAGAAAGGAGGAATAGAAATTACCTTCAGACATATTAGCTTTGATATGCGAAAAATGTGCATTAAAAATGAATTTGTCATAAATTTTGCACATACACGCATGCTGGAAGGTTAATGCTTTAGATACATATGCCACTGGTAAACTATTCTTCAGTAAATGAGACTGCTGCTTGTCCTTCTTGAGATGCATGATGCATCCACAGTATGCTGCCCACCAGGAGCCAACTGGTGGTAAAGTTGCTGAACAGTGGTAGTTTGGTCGGGCCTTAAATACTGGTGAATGGTTTTCATATTTTTTGCCGTGTGTATCATGTAAATCTGAGCCAGTTTACCTTAGAAAGTCCTCCATGAAGGCATCATTTCCCTTAGGCAGATAGCCCTCAAGTGCTCTGCCATAAACAGAATAAACTATTAAAAACCACAGGTAATCCTACAGGCATATTTATGTCATAATACTCTAAATCTGATTTAGTTATTAAAACATCCTAAAGCCTTTGCAAAGCTTTTTAATGCACTGCATTTCAGTTCCAGGCAATGTGGTTTTTCAACAAATCTCTTAAAGAGTTTATTCTGATATTTTAGGTTTGAATCTAGAAACATATAATCACTTATAAGGGAGTTTTAAGTTCTTTAACATTTTATGGATTTCTTATATTTAGAGTAGTCTTAATTTTTTCTTCATTGGATTTTAAACAATCTTCTGAAAATATTTATCCCATATATTTGATTTCATTCTTTTTTTTTTCTTTATATATATATATATATATATATAACAGTGAAAAGTCGTTAATTCAGACACCCATAATCCGGAATGATCTATAATCCGGACCTCAAAGCTACAAACTTTCTGCATATGCGTCGCGTTGACGCATGTGCATAAGACCTTTATGGCTGCGAATATGTTTGTGCGCGTGCGCAAAATACGTTTACGAGTGTGCGTTTAATGTATAACGGACATTTTAAGCTAAGCTAAAATTATCTAACTATCTATTTCAGTTAATGTTGCAGATTGCGTTGTTCCTTAATCTTCGAATTGGATCCGGCTTATTATTTTTTGCAAACTGTTAGAGCAATTTTATAAAAGTAAGCTTGAACTTTCGATTATGTCAATAGAATTTCTGATATATATTTACTAATATTAGGGATTTACAAAGCAAAAGTATATTTCGAAGTTCATTAAACAAAAAAGTCGAATTGCTTGCAAAAAATGGATAAAGGCATATCCTTTGTTTAACTTAAACTTTGTTTATCTTTAACGCCGCAGCGCGCAATGAATTGGAGTTGATCTGTCAGCACTATTCTTATCTTTCAGGGCAGATTTTTTATTTTATTTGGCTTATAATCCTTACTAAATTTAGTATTTCGTCTTGAGGTACTCTGATATGATTTAAATCAATTCCTCGTCATTATATTTGCTTCCGATAGCGAAGATATCGGAGTATAAGATATGACAGAGGTTATTAAAAACAAAAAAAAAATTCGATGACAAATAGGTCGGTATCTCGACCAGCAGTTATAAGACTGAACAGCGGAAACTTTGTAACTGAACAAGAAATTATGTCTGTTTTTTATAGAATTAAAGAGAATGTATTATCAATAAAAAAATGAAACTTAACAACTTACATTGAAAGAAATGTTTAATAAAGTAAAAAAATAAATATTAAGCTTTTTTTTTTTTTTTTTTTTTGGTAAATTTTGATACCCATTAGATCATAATTGGTCTTTATTTCATAAATTACGTTTCATATTTTTAATTTTATAATTTCTGTATGCCATCTTACCAGATTTAAACTGATGATCTATAATAATCCGGAATCGCCGAAGTCCCGACGTGTCCGGATTAACGACTTTTGACTGTATATATATATATTCTGTGGCTCCTTCCAGTACCTTTTTTTATTCTTAAATTATCCCCCTCCCACACATGCAGAAAAGCCGGACATTATATCATAATAACACATGGAAGGAAATTCTTTAATCCCCTTCAAGCTTGAATGTGTTTGCAATTTTAGTGCACTTTTTAATGCTTGATATGTGTTCATAATATGAATTAGCAAGAGGCAACATCTTAGGTGATCCTGTACTTTCAAGTTAAATGTGTATCGCTTATTGTAATTAGTTCTGAAATTGATCTTTTTTATAGAAGTAGATAATTTTTTAATAATATTTTAAAACTATTTTATGTATCTGACAAGTGGTTGAGTATTTTCTTCTACTTTTCATTTTTAAGGCTTCTGTGGTCAATGCAGTCTAGTAAGTTGTAAGAAAGTTCTTTTCTTGTATATGTTTTATATGGTACAGTACAAAGTCTGTAATCCGGACTTGTTGGGACTTCGGCAATTCCGGATTAGGGGTTTTTATGGATTATAGATCATCAATTAAATCTGGAGATGGCATGCCAGAAATTTATCAATTAAAAATATGAAACTTTATTTATGAAAAAAGCGCAATTATGATCTAAAAACGTATCAAAATTTAAAAAAAAAAAAAAAAAAAAAAAAAAGCATATATTTATTTTTGTTGTTTTTTTAAACTTTTTCAATGTAAACTTTCTTCACTATCGGAAGTGCACATTGGTAAATGCTTTACTGGCTTTACGCGCATGCATAGTGGACGAGCACATCAAACGCGCATGCGTAAGTTTGTAGCTTTGAGGTCCGGATTATAGATCATTCCGAATAATGGACGTCTGGATTACAGACTTTGTACTGTATTTGTGTATATAGTTTCAATTATCAAATTTAAAAATTAGAGGGGAAACAGTTATTATTTCATTGAATCAAGATAGATGCTTTTAAATTTTAATGCTTAATTTTTGGTTGTCTAAACTGATTTTATATTTGTGAAATATACAGAGTGTTTTATATTGAATAGGACAAAAAGAAACAGTACCTGTGAATGCTGTAATTATTTTATTTTGATGAATCAAATTTGCAGTGAAACTATAGTTATCCAGGTTTCTCTAGTTATTACATGTGTGCCTATCCGGTGACATGCCAAATATCTGTGCAATATTCCAGCTTCTGCCGCATTCTCGATGGAATATCCTTTGTTAATGATTCGAGCACTTTGGTTATCTGCTGCTGTAGTTACTATAAGTGGAGTCTTTAACAAAACTCCACAAGAAAAAAATCGCAAAAGCTAAGATCTGCAGATCTTTGTGGCCAGCAAAGCACCATCTTGCTGATAGCATATCTTGGTAAATGCACCTATTAATCAATTCTCCATAAAGAAAAAGGGACCAAAAATACAACTGTTAGAAATGGTGCAGAAAACTTTCACCTTTGTAGAATTACACTCATGTCATGTTCCATTACACCATGATTGAATGTGGAATTTCCATGCCCCAAAATCCTAAATTATGGCACTTAACTTTCCCAGAAACATGAAAAGTGGCTTCATCTATAAACACAAGTCTGTTTGAAAAATCATCTACCTCCAGCTTATCTTGCAAATTTCTCACAGAGCGCTTTACGCAGCGGTTTATTGGAAGGTTTTAATGTCTGCACCATCTCAAAAGTATACGGCCAGAATTGTAGACATTTCCGTAACACATGCCACACCATTACATGAGGCATATAAAGTTCAGAACTGGCACAACAAGTTGATTTTGTGGGATGCCCATATTCTGAAACTGCTTCACACTTTTGATGTTGTGGTTCTTTACCAAATTACATGCAAAAAGTGTTTTTGAATGATAAACGATGATGTTTTGGTGTATTCCAAAACACAGTATGTACATGGTAGTATCATAATATGCATGACATGGATGATTCCATTTTGATTAACAGTGCCTCTAGTGCTGATTTCATAACCGGAAGACTTTTTGCTGTTACCAGATAAAACTTGTGTAATTGTAGTTATTGTATTTTCAGAATTGATTAGTTTTGGCTTAATAAATTGGTTACAGAATTTGTACTATGCTATTCTTTTTGTCCCATTCAGTATGAAACACTCTGCATATTAGCTGTGTATTAAAGAATTCTGTTTTAATTATATTTAATTTTTTATCTTTTAGGGGCATAATTGCAATTGAAGTTCTTCGACAATTAGAAGCAAGAACTAACAAAAGAATCTACGAATTGTTTGATTTCATGTGTGGTGTTAGTTCAGGAGCTGTTCTTTCTCTCTTATTAGGAGGCCTTCGTTTATCACTTGATGAGTGTGAAGCATTGTATAGGAGGCTCAGTGATGAAGTTTTTAGTCAAAGTTCTTTTTGGGGAACCGGTCGTTTGATGTGGAGTCATGCATACTATGATACGACCATGTGGGTAAAGGTTTTAAAGTAAGATACAAGGTTATTTCATTCATTTAAATAATTAGAATTCATGAGGCTATTTACACCATTTGTACAAAAAGCATTTATAATTCTTTTTCACATGGGTACAATTTTTTATTCCTTATTTTATTGTAAAGAGCAAGTACCAGATAATATTTTCGTATAGAATTGCCATCATAATGTATTTAGTTATAATAGAGGAGTAAACAGAAAATGCAGGTATTTGCTTATTATTTAGGAGGCAACAATGCAGTAATAACTAGTGTAACTTTGGTGATAGTGTTAAGTAACAGTCATTTCTGTTCTTTAGAGATAACAGAGATGGTCTTTTCACAGACAACAATTCTAAATTTTGCGCAAAGTTTGCATATTTCATTCCAGTAATCCCCTAAAACCAGGAGTGGGGAAATACTTAACTGTGGGTAAAAAATATTGTTTAAGTGCATCATAGGGGCCAGACTATACTTTTGTATTGGCCCTATTGTTTACAGGACACACCTGACGGGGAGGGAGAAAACTTCCCTATCCAATACATTTTTTTTTTTTTTTTTAATTACAAATACACGAAAGGCAAGATCTGTTCCTTGTGGTCATCAAATAATTGACATTAATGCTTCATTAAATAGTGACATTAATTGTAGTCATTAAATAATGGCATTAAGTAAAATAATTCCATTTTCAAGAAAAATTTAGAGATGAAATGTTCTTTCCCCAAGCTTCTTTTTCTGATTAGCCTTTCCTTCTCAACAATATTCATATGCCATTGTTTCATTTCTAAATTAAAGCTGCTAAAAATGATAAAACTATATTCTTTGGCAAATGCACATGCTTTCTAGCATATCTAGTGCTCTCAACTTAAATTAATTGTTAAACCTTTCCAACACGCTATTTTTTAAAGTTAGAATTTCGATTAAAAAAAAAAAAAAAAAAGACAGGCAGTCTAATTTAATTAGGCTTAGAGGAGTACACAAGTAAAATTTTATGAAGATAGCACTTATCGTTTTAATTCTGTGGGTATGCCCAAAGTGGGCACACTGATTCAATAGAGCTTCGAAAAGAGTGCTGAAATGAGCATTGCTGGGAAGCGCATAAAAGAATAAAAGATTTTGCCTGCAATTAAAAAACACTAGATTCTGAATTCCGTAACATATTTAGCATTACCAATGGTGTGCCACTGCGAGATCTGCTACTCTACAACCCCCTAAAAAGCTATTTTTGATTATATGCTGATTACCTGTGTATGAGTGGGGGGAAAAGTAACTTGGGTATATGATATTTACATTATTTACATTTCATATTTACACTTTAGTCTATGATTTTCATGGTGCTGCTTTTCGAAGAAAGTTACACCACCTTTGAAAAGCACAGCCCAATATTGCATGTTTTGCACATGTACCGAGATCCGTATTAGATTCACTATCTGAAAGCAATTTGTGTAGCACTTTCAGTGCTTCAGAAATGGTCAGCCCTTTCCGATTCATTTCGAAAATAGTTAAAAATCTGAGAAAAAAAAATTAATTAATATTATATCTACAATTAGAAATTATAAACTATAAAATAAAATTAAATAAATGTCTATAACTCAAAACTTAAACATAGTGCTAGCGAAACTTTGAACGAAAGCGAAAGAGAACTGCTCTAGTGAAAAACCAAACAGCTAACTGATACAATTACCATTGACCTTCAGAAAATCACCCCAACAATTTGTTAGTTGATACCCAAATATCCCCTCCCCTTCTCCCCCCCTCCCCCCCCCAAAAAAAAAGAGGAGAGAGAGAAAAAGAAAAGAAGAAAAAGAAAAACAGGAAATGAAACAAAGAATACAGACTCTCAGTTGTCCCAGATTATCAGTGAGCCTGCTCTGGGCACACCTGGGGTTCACTGTTCGATTTTACGCAAGATTTCAAGGTAAAAACTAATATAGAATAAGGAGATTAGCATACAGCCAAAAAAATAAAATAGGAAGTTCCTAAAAAAAATCTGGAAGATTTTGAAAAATGAGGGCCATAAAAAACTAAACATGGCTAAAATATATGGACTGGTTTCTGTTGAACTGCCATCTACTATAAATAAAGAAGGTTCAGAGTAACGTATAGTAACCTATAAGTCCTCTTTCATTCAATTTTTCTGTGCATACAGAAGGAAATCTTTACGTGTGCCCCGACTGGGCACACCGTGCCACAAAGGTTTAATATGGTTATGTGTATTATATGCATGTGTACTGTAACAATAGATGCACACTAGATGGGCCAAAAAATACTTTATTTTCTGTCACTATATCCTGAAAAATTTGCCTGTGATGAATGCAAAATGGGGGGAGGGGAATTCAAATAAAATTATACCCTTCGTTTATGCAGTGCACACAGAATTTTGGTAAATGATGAAATTTTGATGTTTTTTGCCAGTTTTGTTTTTTTAGTTACTAAATTGACTACTATCGAAAAGCTGTAGGTCCTAATGTAAATTTTGAACAAGAAAAAAGGAGTACATTTGTAGAGGAAGAAAAAAGTTGATAATCAGTAATTTCAAATTATTTGTTTGTGCAAAAAGCTCTAAAAATGCAATTGTTGTGTAAAAGTTGCAATATTTTTTAATTTTTGCTACAAATATTTTTAAATGGTGAATTTAATTATCAAATATTATGTAACTAACTATTCTGTGTATTGTAATGTAAGTATTGATAACTGATTCAAACAATTTTCTCGCCAATGACAAAAACAAAGTAAGAAGAGGAAAAACTTGTAATAATAGAAGTGGTTTGCAGAATCAATTTATTAAGGGGACTCTACATGATCTGTACTTTGATGGAAGAAAAGACAACATGATAATAATTTTAAAAAATTAATTAAAAGCATTTTCAAATAACTGAAAAAAAAGGAATTATTATTCCCTCGTACAGTAACAAGAATTAGAATATATCGGCCATGTTTTCTCCCTGTACGAGACTTTGCTGATGAACTTGGCTCTTGGACTGGACTATACATAAGATTTCTTGTACAAAGAACTTGCTGTGAGAGGGAGGAATGGAAATGTAATTAATAGTGGTTTGAAAAATGGTATTATCCACCAGTTCAAATTGTGCATTGAGAGAACACAGTAGAGGGCTTATCTCTTCTACGCTTCAGTGAACTGTAGTTCCGCCACCTATCTCCTCCATTAGATGGATGTTATTGTAGGGCTTAAATGCTTTAGTAGACCAATCGGGGAAAAACTCACTGCCTGTGAAAAACTTCCACTGATTTGCTTTGAGCTTTGTTGAATTCTTCATTCCCCAAGTCAACTGTGAAAAGTGTTGAGCACAGCTCAGTTTTATCTGCTTAGTATTTCTGTTGCCATAAAGTCAGGTACAATTTTAGAAAATTTAGTAACTCTTGATTCTGTCATGAGCTACTAAATATTCATATTCAAGATAACTGTAAATCATATAGTCATAAACTTTCATATTCAAGATAACTGCAAATCAAGTTTTCAAAAGTTTGAGCTTAGAAAAGCATACTGTTGAAATTAACCAGTGGGTACATTTTATTTTGAATTGTTGCATGCTTCTGTGGATCAAAATGGAAACCAGCAAAAATTTCAAAAGTGGTCCATAGTTTTTGAAACGATCATAACGTCACAATATCTGCCTCAAAATTTATTGCAAATCATCAACCCACTGATTCAATGGATTTCGTTCTTTCTTTGCTCATCCTGAAAATTTGATCCTTATAATGATTTTGGATGAAAGAAGAGATATCAGAGAACTAGGGCTGTACTAATTATTGAAAGCTCAATCACTTTCCAAAGAAAAGACTATTTAAAACTTCGCCACATCAAAATTCAATTTCAACGAAACAGACTATTAACATAGTTTGGGGGGATATTTGCAATATTTCTCCACTTTTATATCTTTTTTGCAAAAGTCGGTGCATTCATTTGTTTTTGATTTTTAAATTTTTTTCTTGACAACCACAGTATCTTTTATTTATCTGTGAAAATAGCCCATTTATGCTGAAGATAATGGAACTAAAAGCATTTTGTGTTTTAGTGAACTAAAGGAATACGACATATTACTTTAGGTTAATAAAATTATATACATTTAAAATGATATTGGCCTACATTAGGCTGATAAGGTATCAAAGGGTTGAAAAGTGTGTTGCATATCAGCATAAGAAAATAAATTGTTTAAAATCTTTTTCTTTTTTTTAATCATCACCTCTTAACAGTTGTTCGCAACAAATATTGCTTTATAATTATAATAAATGAAATATATTTCTGTAATTTCCCATAATATGAATTAGGAAATTGCAAACTTCACTACTTCTTTTCTAGCCTCTGTATCCAAAATCAAATCAATGATTTTGAAATATCATTATTGGTTGCAATATTCTTTTAACTCAATTGCTAGTATACTTTTTTAGTATTTTAAGATTTTTCTGTTTACTGTTTATGCTGAAAATGAAATGCAGATGCAGATGCCAGAGCTTTTAAATCTGATTCTTTCCACCCCCCCCCAGGTTTTATCGAAGAAGGAAGATTTAAATTTGGGCAATAACAATTGGCATTAATGGATGTTGTTTTAATTGAAGCAAAAGATATCTGTATAACTTTATGTTAACTGTAAAGTTTTAAAAGCAAAATCTCTTCACTGAAGTTTTAGACTGTAATCTAATATTTTCAGACTGCTAGCCTAAGACCCTCTCCATTTCAATAATGATGCAGTAATTCATCGTAGATATAATTATTTCAGTCTTCTGTGGTGTAGTTTAATGTTTCAAGAAATTTTTCAGAATTTTTATATTTTGAATGAATTGTTAAGTTGGTGACTTCTGATCGCTTGGCAGTACTGGCAGATAATGAGCATGTAAATTCAATTTCCACCCTGTTAAATTCTTAGTTGTTATGTAAAGCTGTTTCGCATAAGTAGGGAGGACTTTATTATATTTCTGAATAAGTACGAAAAATATTCCATTGGGATAAAACAGTTTATATTAGCCCATTTTAATATTTGTCTCATTTGGGATACA